AGTTAGGGATGCCATACTTCTTGGCAATTCTCTTGGCACGATCTGGCTCCGTCTCCTGTAACAAGAGATCAGTCTTTATTCTCTTAAGCAGCACTCGCAACTCCCTCTACGTACGCGAGCTGGTAGTTGAATACAGTGCACCACTGCGCTCGTGCGCTGTACCCCCTGGGCGTGTACTTGGCCGATGCGTCCCGCACCCACAATCCCAACACGCAGAGGGCGATCAGAGGCGATCGTGGCCATGGAGCGAGCAGAGGGGAGACGCAAAGCTAAACTGCGGGTCTGACGGAGCAGCAAGGGCATATCGAAGCTTGCTCGCGAGGCGGGGGATTGAGTTGTGGGCCGCGGGACTTGACTCCGCAGGCTCCGTTGCTAGGGATCGCGTGACTTCGGGCAAGTTGAAGCTGTTAGCCCATCTTCGGTCATATTTTGTGTGTGAGTGCAACACCAACTGCATTTTTAGTCCATGTGATGGGGGGCATCAAACTAAAGATCAGTCGACTGGTAGAGAGTGAAGCCCGCCAATTCTTGCCAAAAGCGCACCACTTTATCAGACACCTTCGCACTTGTACATCAACAACTATGAGCGAAGCACTGAAAGCCCTGGAGAACGCGTCGCGTCGCGAGCTGCAGGCACTGGCCAAGGAACTACAGTTATGCAGGGGAAACGCTAAGTCGGACGTGATCCTAGGCAATGCCATGGAATTCCTAGATAAGCACCCCAAAGATGGCGAGCAGCTGGTGTTGGCTGCACTCGGTAGTAGGGGCAACGTGACTCCCGTGGCCAAGAAGGCCACGCCCAAGAAGGAAACTCCGAAGAAGAAGGAGAAGGCGGCAAATGCTAGTGTCAAGGTGGATACGGACGTTAAGGACACCAAGAGCAAAAAGCAGCAACCGGTGGAAGAGCCGGAGGAGGTGGAGTCAAAGACGCCAGAGAAGAAATTGACGACGAAGAAGGCGGTACCAAAGGAAAACAAGAAGTCCAAAGCGGCATCAGCTACAGCTACCTCAAAGCCTACTACTGCATCGCCTGCTAAGAGTCATAAGACCAACTCTAAGGCTTCACCTTCGACTAAGAAATCCCCCACTAGCAAAACTGAGCCTTCGTCTACAGAGAATAAGAAAATTGCGGCCAAAAAGGAGGAATCTGTTAGTAGCAAGAAACCTGCACTGGTCAGCAAGAAGGCGGAGATCAAGGCGCGTAAGGCTGTGGAAGCACTGGTGAAATCAGTGACGGACTTGACGTTTGTTGGCGACTCCCGCGTACGCTGCTCCACTACGGGCCATGAGATGAAGGCAGATGTGGACATTATCAACACGTACATCCATGGCAAGCGCTACCTGAAGGCTCGTAACCTCAAGCTCTCGTTTGCAAAGTACGCGCCGATGTTTGTGGACCATCCGGAGGAGTCCAAGCCGGACATGTTGTGGTGTAACGTGACAGAGTTGGCCATTGCTCGCGACGAGAAGAGTGTCAAGAAGCACATGGTTGCCCCCAAGTACCAGAAGCAGCTGCCGATTTGGAAAGAGGAGGAGGTTGCGAAGAAGAAGGCCGAGGAGGAGGAGGCTCAACGTCGGGCAGCTCGCATCGAGGCCGCTAAGAAGAGGAGGCTTGAAGCTGCCAAGGAAGACGGCGATGCTGTGGAAAATGAGCGACCAGCCAAGCGAAAGCGCACAACACCAAGTAAGTAGAAACCTGTTTTGGTATCACGGAAGTTTGTGTGCATTTCAATAGATTCCCATGTTCATACGACATCAAAACTCTCGTGTATTAGTATCCTGTTAGAACGTGTGGTACTCCTGCACGAACGTAGCTAGTTGAGCAGCAAGCGCCTTGCGGAATGCAGAGCTCGACGAGTTGAGTGCCGCGTGCAGCGCCTTGCCACTTTCCGATTGGTAACGGGAAGGCACGACAGCCTCCACGTCATAGTCGCCGCCGCAGTCCGAGCTCAGGTCCAGGAACTTCAGCTCACCCGCCACTGAGTTGTCTCCCTGCTTCAATGTGCACGCCAGTGTGAACGTGAAATCGAAGATGTAGCGCTTTGCACCGCGCACCACCGCAATCGACGCGTCGCCCTCGAGGTCCGACACTTCCAGCGAGGTCACGACGCCTTCGCCACTGCCCAGCGGTGCCGATACTCCCGACACAACCTTCTCCAGCTTTCTCTTGGCCCACGACGTCATGTCCTTCTCCTCGAATGTGTTTCCCTGGTTCCAAGCAGAGCCGCCGTCCACGCTCTTGATCTGGACCTTGTTCGGGTCCTCCACCTTCTTGGGGGCGATGTCTCCAATCAGCTGCTTGGCCTCCTCCGTGAGCTCGTTGTTAAAGAACGTCGTCACGCGTCCGTCCGCCAGCTTCTTGTATCCGCGAACGTGGCCAGCAATCTCAGCGTCCTCGTCCACGACCGTAGAGCTGGCGGCAGCAGTCGGCTTGGGTGCAGAGGCCGAGCTGGTCTGCGGCACTTCCACGCGAGTCACCACCTTCTTAGGAGCTGGGGCGGCAGGCGCCTCCTTCTCCTTCTTGGCCAGCTCCTGTACCTTGGTGTACAGCGTGGTCACCGATTTATTATTGGATTCTAGCGCCTTAGCCACGTCCAGCACCACAAGCGCCTCTTTGAAGCGGTTAAGCTTGACGAGCGCCTGCGCCTTGCGGAAGAAACCCTTGGCGTACGTGGCGTCCAGTGCGATGCAGGCTTCGGCATCCTCCAGCGCTTGAGCTGCCTTGCCCATGGAACATCGCGCTGCTGAGCGGTTAGCGTAGAAAATGTGCTGGTTCTGCTGCGGGTTGCTCTCATTCACGGCGATGGCGCGCGTGTACAACACCTCGGCCTCTTCCAGCGCCTTCTGTTGAAAGGCAGCATTACCTCGACGCTTGAGCTCCGCCACGAGGGTTTCCAGTTCCGTGGGGTTCGTAGGCACAGGACCGTGTAGCACGTCCGAGTGGCGCGAGAAAGGAAGCGCAGCGTCTCCTCCGAACATCTTCTTGGGGGTCAGCCGATCGATACGATTGTGAGGAACGAGGATGTGGTACAGCCTGGTACCAGCAGCCACGGTAACTGTCAAAATCTATTCCAGAATCTTCGATTCTAAATTTTAGAATCTGTAATGGAGATATAAATGGTGCCAGAAAGCCATTCCGGTATCTGATTCGTTTCTCGATTAAGTACGAGATAGACTCGTTGACTGGCGAGCGGTAGTCGGCATAAAGCCCGAAAAAGCTGCACAGGGCAGTCGTCGTCGCTGTTCCTCGCTACAACTTTCGTGTCTTCCCAGTAGCTCTCCCTACTTAGCGATGCCGGCTGTGGACATAGCTTCTTCCTCCTCACCAGTGGAGACGGACGAGGCTGGCAAGACGATGGTGGCTGTGGGCGGCATGCAGAACATGGCGTGGGCGTCGGACACGTCCAAGTTTGGTTTCAAAATGCTGGTCAAGATGGGCTGGTCGGCTGGAAAGGGTGTGGGTAAGGACCTGCAGGGTCAGGCCACACACGTCAAGATCGCACGCCGCTCGGAGAATTTAGGCGTGGGCTGCAGCCTCAAGCAGGCGGAAGTGCAGGGCTGGTCCCAGACGGCGGGTGGTTTTGCAGATGTGCTCAAGACGCTCAACAAGTCATACGGCAACAAGTCTAACTCGGATGCGGATAGCTCCGATGAGGGCTCCAGCAGCAGCAGCAGCAGCAGCAGCAGCAAAAAGGTTAAGAAGAGCAAGAAGGAGAAGAAGGAGAAGAAGGCGAAGAAAGAGAAGAAAGCTAAGAAGGATAGAAAGTCGAAGAAGAGCAAAAAATCCGGCGGCGATAAAGCTACGGTCTCGCGACGACTACACTATCGCAAGCGCCAGTCCAACAAGGACGCCAAAAACTACGGCGCCGCCGAGATGGCAGCCATCCTGGGCGTTGCGTCCTCGACCTACAAGCCAGCTGCCGATGAGTAGACCATCATTCGCCGAGTTCTTCCAGCGCAGTCCACGCGCATGTGTTAATGACTATTTAGAGCCTTGGGGCCAATACATAGCAAGCTTCCCTTGACATGTTCAGTCTCCATCCTCCTTGACAAGCAGCATGTTGGTCTTGTGCTCCGGCTTCGAAAACGCATATCCCTTTCTCTCTTGCAATCAGTACTTTATCTGTTTGATATTACCTGTATAATCAGATACCCTTAATATATAATTGGAGCTTAGGCCTGTCAAATACGATATTGATGGTCACTGGTTGTGAAGAGCCATTACGGCATTGGCTAGAAGAACACCATGGCGAGCGTATTCGTGCGCAACCTGCCGTTCGGCGTGACGCAGGAAGAGCTGGAGCACGTTTTCAGCGAGATCGGCCCTGTCAAGAAGATCGATGTCATTAAGGACAAGGGCAAGCGCAAGAGCGAGATACTCACGCGCGGATTCGCCTTCGTAAAGTTGTACGTCTTTCACTTGGGTCAGAACTGCGTAGACTATTGGCAATATTAACACTCTGTTATAACTCTTTCAGCGCTGTGGAGAGTGACGCAGCGGTGGCTGTCGAGAAACTCAACAAAACGGACTTTCAAGGCCGCAAGATGCTCATCGGTGCGTTCTATAGCCAATTAAAAACTGAAGCTTTAGCTGGTCATTTTAATGTTCTTGTTATACAACAGACTATGCTATGGAGAAGGGCAAACGTCGTGGATTGCTTGGCAAGGAGAAGCCTGCTGCTGAGAAGCCCAAGCAGGAGGAGCAGGAGCCACAGGATGTAAAGATGGAGGAGCCTGCACCGTCAGATGAAGATGCCGACAAGGTTAAGCAGGAACGCAAGGCCGCGAAGGAAGAGCGTCGCGCTGCTAGGGCTGCCAAGAAGGCGGCGAAGGCGGAGGCCAAGGTCAAGGAGGAGACGGAGGCGACACCAACCACAGTCGAACCGGAAGAGCAGGTCAAATCTAAGCAGGAGCCCAATATCGAGGCCAAATCATCTGAAACTGCTGCTTCAGGCCACGTCCAGAGTGAGCGCAATGCGCGTCGTCGTCAGCATCGTGAGTTTTTACGCGAGGTGGAGCGTCGTAAAGAGGAGCAGGCCAGTGTGGAGCAGAAGTCGGTGCTGATCTTCGGCGTGGGCGCTGATGTGACACAAAAGCACGTGCTTAAGAAGGTCAAGAAGGTTGGCACAGTAGTGAAGGTCGAGCTCAAGGAAGAGGCTCGTACTGGCAAGACGTATGCATTGGTGCAGTTTAAGTCTACCAAGGATGCGGCTCTGGCAGTCGCCAAGCTGGATCACCACATCTTCAAGGGCTCAGTGCTTCAAGTCAAGAGCGCAGCCAAAGCTGTCGTGGTGGATGATAAGGAGACGGATGGCAGGCCTGGTGCTCCGAAACGAGCTGCCGAGACGGAGGGATTGCGCCTTATTGTGCGTAACTTGGCGTTCCAGACCACGGATAAGGACTTGGAGAAGCTTTTCGAAGTGCACGGTCCACTGTTCGAGGTCCGAGTTGTGCGTATGCCAGTGGAAGAAGATAAGAAGAAGAGCGACGAGACAGATGGCGCTGAGCCCGTGCTGGGTCGCAGTCGTGGATTCGGCTTTGTGCAGTACCGCGACGTGGTGGACGCGCGTGCTGCCGTGGAGAAACTCAATGGAACGAAACTCAAGGGCCGTGAGATGATTGTCGACTTTGCGCTGTCCAAGACCAAGTATCTTGAACAGCAGAAGAAGCAGGAGGAAGAGGCAGTAGCTGCTACGGAAGGAGACGAGGAGGACGAAGAGGTTAACAGTGGTGACGAGGATGAAGATCAGCTTGAAATGGCGTCGGACGATGAGATAGAAGCTGGGTCGAATGACTCGGACGACGAGGAAGAAGAGGAGGAGGAATCTGCCCCTGCTCCCAAGGAGGACACAGAGGCTCAACGTGAACGCACGCTGTTTATCCGCAACCTGTCGTTCCAAACGTCAGAGGACGGACTGCGCGAGTTCTTCCAGACTTTCGGTGCAGTGCAATACGCCCGTGTAGTGTACGATAAGGGATCCGGTCTGTCCAAGGGCGTAGGATTCGTTCGGTTCAAATCGGCTGATGTGGCCGCAGAAGTGTTGAAGCGCGGAGAGCAGCCGCAAACGGACGACAAGAAGAAGCACAAGAAGGACAAGAAGAAGGACAAGGTCTTCACGTTGTCTGCACTGGCAGACGGTGGCGACGACGCCTTGACTCTGGATGGCCGTCAGCTCATTCTGTCCCGAGCGGTGTCCAAGACCGACGCTGAGCACTTGGCTGACTCCAACGCTCGTGAACGTCGCCGGCTGGACAAGCGCAACTTGTATCTGGCGTACGAAGGCACACTGAATGTCAACAAGATGGCAGATGCCGAGCTGGAGCTGCCGAAAATGGACATCGACAAGCGCCGTCGCGCCATCCGCGAGAAGAAGCTCAAGCTCCAGAACCCCATGTACTTTGTGTCGCCTATGCGTCTCTCTGTTCGTAACCTGTCGACCACTCTGGATGACCGCAAGCTCAAGAAACTTTTCCACGAGGCTGCAAGCGCTGGTGTCCGTGCTGGTAACGTGGATCGTACCGAGATTAAACTCGAGCTGCTTCCTAAGGGAAACCCTCTGGTTAAAGTCCGTATGGCCAAGGTGGTGCGTGACATGGAGTCGGCCAAGGTTGGCAAGGAGCCTCGTTCACGTGGCTACGGGTTTGTTGAGTTTTCCGAGCATTTGCACGCACTGGCAGCTCTGCGTATACTCAACAACAACCCCAAGTACACGTCCTATGCTGCTGGTCGGGTACCAGCTTCTGGGGCACCCGACAGCTCGAAGTCACGTCTCATTGTGGAGTTTGCGTTAGAGAACCACGGTAAGCTCAAGTTGCGTGAAAAACGCGCCGCAGACGCTGCCAAGAAGCGCGAGGAAGAGCGAGCTTTGAAGGAAGCACAGGGTGAGGGCGATGAGGACGCTGAGAAGACAAAAAAGAGCCGTGGACAGCGTCAGCGTGAGAAGAAAAAGTTGCGTGCACAGGCGAAGGCCGAAGCTAAGGATGAAGCTGAGGCGGGCAAGACGAAGCCCAAGAAGGCAGCAAAGGCTGACAAAGTGGTGAAGCAGCAGCCGAAGAAGCGGAAACGCGTTGAGACTGCGCGTGTTGATGCTGAAGATGACGCTCTGACCTCGTTGGAGACCGCTCACCTGGCCAAGAAGGGCAAGACGCTTTCTCGTAGCCAGCGCAAGCACGCCAAGGAGATTGAAAAGGAGAAATCGTTTGACGAGATGGTGCGTAGTTACAAGAAGGAGATTTTCGGTGAAAAATCTGTGGCGGCAAAGGGAGACGACAAGAACAAGAGCGCAGACCGCTGGTTTGACTAATCAGAACCATCCAGATTGGCCACGCAAAGATGCCAACCACGAGACCACGCTCGAAACTATAGACTGCTTGCATGAATGAATATCTGTCCACCACGTCTTTGTCGGAGTCTCCGTTAACACGTCCAGATCACGCTTTTAGATTTCTGCTAGATTTAGAATTTCTACTACAATGTACGATCGACTTATCTGGCGAGGCCGGTGAATCTCCATTGCCGTTGCGTCGGTGGGGCATGAGTTCCGAGTGCGCTGTTTCCTTTGCGTTTTTCACCAGTACTCCTCTTGTGGTGCAACAGCCCTCTGCGCACCGACTGCTGGTGGTGATTCCTGTACGGCGTGAGTGCTGCTCTTGGAGATGTGATTCCAGTGCTCGGGTCATGTATTTAACTGCGCCCACAAGTACTAGCATCAAGCCGGCTCGTCCAGGAGTAGATTTTGTCGAGTCACGTGGTGCAGTTCTCTTCGAAGTGGGCCAACAACGTGCTCAGCTTGCAGTGGAGATCCTCCCGGCTCTAGCAGACTCGGATGCACTAACACAACGAGCTTTTGCAGTACAACTTGAAGCGTCAATGAATGCGTCCACGGCAATACGTGCATCAACCGAGATCATCGTGGCATCTCCGTCAAAGAGCACAAACGTCGTACCTGCGTCGACTGTAAGTACGTCATTTATTGCGGTGTGGATACTTGCTGCAGCTGGACTCGTACTATTCGTAGCATACTTGCTCCGAGTACGACACTGCTGCCTGCCTCGTCGAGGTCGAGCGTTTGAGTACAAGCTCGTGTTGTTGCCTCGCCGAAACTCTGGAATAAGCGAAGATTTTCGGGTCTCCATCGGCGATAGCTCACCGAAGAAGAGCAGCAAGCGACGCACGCCTTGTCGCGTCAGCTCATTCAAGGGTGGGAAAGCTTTCATTGAGCGTTGCGGGTCGGACCACGTCGTTCCACAAGTCGAAAGAATGGACAAACAAAAGCAGGAGGAACCTTTGAAAGACGACTACGACGGCGAGGCGGAGAGGGATCTTAGAAACCACCTAGCCTCCATCCAGAGTCCCAGTCCAAGAAAGATAGCGATCGATATGTATTGGCAATGCCGTAGTGATAGCACACCTGGATGAAATGAAAAGGCATAAATTGGAACAAGTTGAAGTGAGCGATTTATGATATGGCTTCATCCCTACTAAGTACGTTTCGCTGCTCGACAGCTGTGCACGTCAACCTCATCTTTTTCATGATGTCATGGGTAGCTCTTCATGCAACTTTCTCCTCCAGACATCTAAGCTTGCAGTACATGCTCGTCAAAGGGATCGCCATTAATACAGTACAATTATGGATGTTGATAAAGTGCGAGATTAACGTTAAATGGAGTGGACTACTGACAGGTTTGGTGCGTGCTGCGGCACCGCCGGTACAGTATGCCACGGCCTTAGAGCTTGTTCTTGTAAAAGACGATCTTGCCGTCGTCCTCGACGAACTTGCAGTGAGTGTAAGATCGCCACAGAGCAATCGGCACAGGGGTGTCGTCCTTGAGGTAGAACTTGCCCAGCAGCGGCTTGATGGCGTTCGTGGCCTCCTCGCAGTGGTAGAACGGCATCTTGGAGAAGATGTGGTGGCACACGTGCGTGTCGACGATGCGGTGCACCACCGAGTCGAGGTACGGGCCGAACGAGCGGTCCACCGTGCAGAGAGCGCCGCGCAGCCAGTTCCACTCGCTGTCACGGAAGTGCGGGATGTAGGTGTCCGTGTGCTGCAGGTACGTGATGAGCACAAGGTAGGCGTTGACGATGAAATAGGGCACAACGTAGAACTTGAGCATGGTGTAGAACGAGAAGGTGTACACCAGTGTGGCCAGAACGCCGATCACAAGCACGAGGAAGATGTCGCTCAACACGATCATCCAGCGCTCGCGGTCCGAGTAGATGGCCGAGTACGGGTTGAAGTGGCTGCGAGACTTGCCCCAGTACTTGGTCGGACCCGTGGCGTTGAAGAATAGGTATCCGGGCATCCAGCCCACTACCAGCATGTACACGATACGGTAGAGCTGGTAGAGCGGCGAGTCTTCAAGGTTCTCATCCCAGGAGCTGGCGATCACAGAGCGAGTCACGGGCACGAACACCTCGTCGTTCTCGCAGCTGCCGGTGTTGGAGTGGTGCTTGCGGTGCGAAATGCGCCAGCTGTGGTAAGGCACGAGCAACGCCGAGTGCAGTACGAGACCGATCAAGTTGTTAACCACCTCGCTGGAGCAGTAGGCCTGGTGACCGCACTCGTGCGCAATGACCCAAATACCTGTGAGGTAGCTGCCCTGGAAGAACCAGTACACGGGCCAAAGCAGGTAGGCGAAGTTGCCAGTCTGGTCGATGTAGGTGGCCGCGTAAAAGAGGGCGGCGCACGTGAGCAGGTTCTTGATCATGTAGTACGTAGATGTGATGAAGGAGCGCTCGAAGCAGTGCTTGGGGATGGCTGCACGCAGGTCACGCAGCGAGAAGTGCGGCAGATCCAGCGGCAGCGGCGCCGGAGCTCCTTCCACGTGCTTGTAACCGGCCTCGGCGAGCTCGCGCTGCTTGGCCTCGGACAGTGAGGCCACCTTGGCGGCTGACTCAGCCTCTGGGTTCAGGATCGCCATGGTCGGGAGAAGAGAGTCCTGGTGGTTTGCAGGTGGAGAATCTGCAAATGGTGACGGCGCCAGTACAGTCAGGAGATGGCGGAATTGGAGGTGCTCGAAGAGGAGGAAAAGACGCGCAGATCCGGCGGTGAGTGGCCTACAGGCCCCAAGTTATGCGGCAACACATGGGCACGTCAGTTGCGGCGCGCACGTGATGTCATTCGATGTGTTGCGTCAGACTGCCCCCAGCAGCGTGCAATGCTGTCATGGACTGTTTGCCCGGTTTTTGCTCAGCCATCGCGAAAGCAATGGCTGCGGCGCCAACGGCGGACCTGACTGCTTTGGAGCGCTCAGACAGCCCCATGCAGGGCTTCTTCCGTGCAGTGTGCATACATGTACTTGGTGCTGCATTTGGAGCCATCTCGCGCGGCGTGCCGACCGAGGTGGATGGAGGTAAGTGAGCTGTGTAGTTCTTCAAGATGCCCGCACCACCTAAATCCGGTTAAACGTTGCAAATCAGGACGGCTTTTGGGTGGCAAGCCACTTTCGTTGGCAATGGAGGCATGCTTCGAAGTACAGCCGAAGTGCTGTTTGCGAGTGGAAGGAGCTTCCTTGCACTTGCTTACATTTACTTACACTTTGATACAATTCTTTCCCGTGGTACATGCAATAATTACTTCGTACCTGTAGTGAGAAATCTTACCAACTTGAGGACAAGGTCAAATTGGCGTCGTTGACAAGCTTGTAGCGGACGCTATACTTCTTCGCCTGTCGATGTGGTACAGGAATTCTCGAGTGGCAAGATATGAACTTCCTCGCAATTTCAATTGGATACAAACAATAGGAATAAATGGCTCCGTAATACTTAATGAATACTAGTATTTTACAACGCCGCATATCACAACGACAGACATATGTACATCTATACCAGTGCTGCATTGCCGCTCGGTGATATGACCCTGAAGCGCCAAGGTTGAAATGCATTCGTGGTTGTCCAAGTTGTAGCGAGCGGTAAGATATGTGCTGAAACGAGTAGGTTCGAGGATTATGCAAAAATCAAAGCGGCCAAGTGTCCCAACCGCAACAGCGAAATCTGGCTTCGATCTTAGCATCGCTCAGTCGTTGAGCGTTTAGTTCACTCATTCCTGACAGTAGGAAGTCGTTGGCTCATCGATTTGATACTAGTACAAATACCCCATTTCTTTTTATTATTATTTTGAGCACGTATTGTGCTCTTGCCTATAATTTTATAGCGGGCCCTGGTCAATATGAAGGAAGTTACGATAGAAGACCGCTTGAACTATACTGTGAATAAATGTGATATCGTAAAACATGCCGGCTGTCCAGAACTGCTTGATAATTCCCCACATGGGTTCAAAAATGAACATAATAGAGTGCACCACAGCAATTATCCGGATAACGACCCCTAAACCTCTCTGTCCGCGGTCCGGACCGGTCAGCTGAACCGTTCGAATCGCATCTAGGCGAATGTCCAGCGCGGCGACCAACCAATGGCCCAGCGGATGTTCCTTTGCCTCGAAAAGCGCAAGAAGCTCTTAGTTCGGTTCTTTAAGTCTTTCGGAAGCAAAACATCACCATGTCCTCCACTGGAATCGCCGTGGGCCTGAACAAGGGTTTCCCTGTCAACAAGAAGCAGGTGGCTCCTCGCCCCGCTTCCCGCAAGGGAGTAAGTGCATCAATTATTTTATCAGCAGGAGCGAGGAAGTTTTTGGATGGCGCAATAAATAAACCGCCTCCGGACAATAAACAGACAGCAAACAGGCAGCAACAGAATGAAGGAGCCGCGGGCTAACGGGCTATTATTGTGATTGGTTTCTTGATGTGCGCAGCGCGCCGGCAAGAAGACCAAGCTCGTGCGCGAGATCGTGCGTGAGGTGGTCGGTCTGATGCCGTACGAGAAGCGCATCCTTGATATGATCAAGAGCGGCGGCTCGTCGGCTGAGAAGCGTATCTACAAGTTCTCCAAGAAGCGCGTACGTATACAACAGATGCAGCAAGGCTTCATTCACTTTATAGGGATGAAGCCATTTTATTCATGCAAAGGATACTAACGCTTTTTGTGATTGTTCGTGTGTTGTCTATTGGGCACGCTTTTTTTTTTACTTGCCATTACTACAGCTCGGAACGCACCGTCGCGCCCTGCAGAAGCGCGAGGAGATGAAGGCGTATTACGCTGCTCTCCGTGCCAAGGCCGCTCACCACGCTTAAGTACCGAGAAACCGACACAGTTCCAGGATTACGGAGATGAAGATCCCGACTTTTCAATGGGTCGGGGCGGGCACGGATACACTCGACAGTGGCGTGATGTCCACTTGCCGACTGTTCTCTTGCAGGGTCACTGAGCCCTACTGATAGCAGCACTGTTCGTCGCCCGTTGGCTCTGGCTGCTTCGTCTCCGTCGCTTCATTATTCGAAATAAAGGATCGCCAAATCACTGCTTCAAGCCCCTGGCGCGTCACGCGTGTCAACGTCTTCTTATCGCTGTGTGTCTTGTCCATTGAGTTACTCGTGATAAAATGGCACTTCAACAACAGGTCTACGACGGTTGAAGAATTGCAGGAAGGACCCATTTTAATGGTTTACAGCTGCAATAGCACAGCGAACAAACAGGCTATTTTTCGTGAGCTAGCAACCATAACGAGGCCCAACAGTGAGCAGCAAGCGTATGGTGGTCCGTCGACTGCCTAAAATAGAGTCCCTATTGTATACGGCATGCGACCGTTCACCAGACGCTTCATCCTAAAGCTAGTGGGCGGTTTTGACTGCTTTAGGTGGTTGCCTTCAACTTCATTGCTCACTTATAAATAGGCTCTAATCAGACACGTGTGTGGCCGTCGCGCCCAGCCGAGGAGGGAGGAGGGTCTAGAGACGAGTGAAAACTTAGCGCGTCGAGAGCCCTGCCTCCCATCACGCATCACACTTGTGGCTGCTGAGGAAATCAGAGCGAGGCAGGGCCAAGGACACAAGTGCGCGGGTGGATCCAGCGTGGTCGAAGCGCTGGATTGTAACAAGACGAGAAACGAACGTGGGCCGACGAGTCGCGACGCGCGAGGCGGCTCGACTTGCGTCCAAGAATATACGAACTGTTGCCTGGGGATTTCTCACATGGGGGTGGAAGCCAAGGAACACAAACGCCGGATGCTGCTGCACTCGATGGCAGCATTAGCCCGGAGTAGTATGAATACGAACGCAGGAAGTGGCTCAACTGAACTAACGACGACTGTGGCTGTGACGACTAGCGGAGGCGACGCCGCCCTTTCTGCTAGCTTATCAACGTTGCCATTGCCGCGTTCCACACAACATAACGAGTCTACATTGGGCAAGGAAGCCCCGAGAAGCGGTCCTTGCATCCTTCCCAGCGCTCATCAACCACGCATGGCTCCACTGATGTCCCAGTTGAGAATATCGCAGTCTTCTCCGCGACTTGTAGGTACTTCGGTGGTCGAAAGTGGAGCTACAGTTGTAGTGGATCATGATCTCGAAGTTGAAGATGTTGAAGACGATAACGAGAACAGTACTAAGCCGTCCAGAGGTCCAAGCGGCAGCAGATTCGTTCCCCCAAGACGTGCAATGAGTGCACTGGAGACTTCGAGTGATCACACGAGCGACGAGTCCATCATGTACGCAGTAGCACTGCTCCGCAAACTCCAGCGACATGCCTGTGACAGTGAACGTGGCGTGGCTGCAGTGCAACGCGAGGAGCTCGACCAGATCCTGCACGGTTTCTCACGTGCTCTCGAGACTGTGACCTCGACTTGGGACGAACGGAGCGTTGAGAACACGATGCAGAAGCTGTTTGACACGCACTCGAATGTGTTTGATGAAAGCATGCAGAACTTTTTCATCCAGAACTTCCTGCATGAGTCGGAAAGCGCCAAAACCTTCCGTACTGCACTGCGTCGCACCAGCATGTTGCGTCGCTGTCTGCTAGCAATGTATCAATCTGACCAAGGGGGAAAAGACAGCAATAGCGACGACAAAGGAACCGCTGCACGCCGGTGGGGAGAAGCAGTAGCACGAGTCATGAAGCAAAAGGAAGAGGAACGTCGTCGCTTCTCAATTGAAGTTTGCCCTGAAATCACGAATCCATCCATAGTACTCGCGGTGCAGAACGAGATCGCCAACATCAATAACTGGAACTTTGATGTGTTTGCGGTACGCTGCTGCTGTTGCGTCAATGCTCTAACTTCCATGCTGATTGTGGTGACCTCTTTTGATTCGCGTAGATTGCGGCAGCAGTTCCAGGTCAAACGCTGTGCATCGTCGGGAATGCACTACTGGAGCAGTATGAATTCTGTTGTCACTTTCGAACAACCAAAACGCGCGTCCAATCGCTGTTACGGCAGTACGTTTCAACAGTCGATGTGCCATGATATGTGGCCTGTTGCTCATCCATCTACATGCGTGGTTTTGCCAACTCTTCCCAGTGTCCAACGCAGGTATCACGCCCATCCATATCACAATGGTATCGTAAACGCTCCAGTACACGAGGATGTAAACCACGATATGCTGACAATTCTCCATTTCGTCTTGTGCCTTGTTTCGATTGCAGCCGAGCATGCAGCGGACGTCGCGCAAACTTTGCACCATTTTCTGTCTGTCGGAAATCTGGGCAGCTTGTTCACTGAGCGAATCAAGTGCACCGCACTTCTGGCAGCAATTATACACGACGTCGTAAGTGCTGCTGCATCCTGGATTGGGTCGCTAATGTGCAGGAATCTCACAGAATTGTGCCATCGATTTCCAGGGTCACACAAGCTACAGCAACAATTTCCACATTACGGTCAACGACGACTTGGCCGTAAGATATGTGTACCGCTCTCCACTCGAGCACATGCACTGTGCATTGGCCTTCCAATTGATGAAGGATCCGCAATGCAACATTCTACAAGGTCTCACAAAGATCGAGCAGCACGAGGTAAACAACCTTACAGAACCAGCGAGTTAAAAGCAACTGACCTTTTTGTTGTGGTCTCCTCAGGTCCGTAATTTGATCACTGACATGGTCTTAGCCACCGACAACAGCGTTCATTCCGCATACTTGGGCAAGCTTGAAAACCTCGTGAGGAGGTAAGTCAGCATCACATCCAAGCTTGCAACGCAGCTGTGCCTTGACCATATTTGCATCACTGCAGAGCAACTGAAGAAGGATGGAAAGCTGCCGACCCAGAGGACGATCGACTGGTGTTGCAGATGGCATTGCACGCGGCAGACGTGTCCAACCCGACTAAGTCGTTGCGCACCTACCTCATCTGGACCGGGCGCATTCAACAGGAATTCTACGAGCAGGGCGACAAGGAGCGCGAGCTGCTGCTTCCCGTGAGTATCGGATACGATCGCGAGCAGCCCATTCCGCTGGAAAAGATGCAGGCTGGCTTCATTATCGGCATTGTGCGGCCGCTCTTCCTGTCGTTGAGTCACCTGCCCAGCGCTCGTCTGGATCACTGCATGGCACAACTGGACGCCAACCTGGCGCATTGGCAGGACGAAATCAACCGCAACCAGCCACCTCCGTCTCCTCCTAAGCCTGTAGTCTCTTCGAACGAAGCAGCAGACGCAGGCATGCCCGTTGTCATCGCCGTCGACAGCTCATAGTGCGGCGAGCATCCGTAGTCCATAGGTAGGCTAATTTATGAGACCGACACTTTTACAAAACAATAATTCGTTTAACTCCGAATGTGTTTTTAGCCAATCCTATGAAAGCACTGTCCCCGCCTCTCGTTTGGCTCTTGTCGGCCCCCTACAGCAGTCGCTAAAGCCCAAGGAATAACTTGCTGCCAAGATGCTGAGCCTTGTGAAGAAAGTGGCGACCGCTGCTGGTCGCCGTACGCCCGCGCAGTCGCGCCTGATGAGCCACGGCCCAGCCCCTGCTGAGGGAAGCCTGGAGGCCAAGGTCCGCCACTACCTGCCGGAGGACTACCACGTACGTCGACATAATAATTGGAGGATCCTGCTAATAGTTACTGACGCTTTGGGGTGATACTGCTGGTCTCAGATTGTGCTGGCCACCCTGGGTGCCTACACGACGCTCATTATGCTGTTCAAGCTCAAGCCCTCGAAGAAGAAAGAGGAGGAGATCGTGATTCGTAAGCCAACTCAAGTTGTTTGCAACTGGATGAGTACTGACATTTGCTGTGGTGCTATTTGGGTATGTACAGCGTCCAGTTCGAGCTCGACGTCGACTTCCATCCCGTCGCTGTTCGATGACGAGTTCGACGAGTGGTCGAAGCTGCCGGGCAACCTCGACAAGTGGGAGAAGAGCCTGGAGACCATCGGCAACTAAGCTACTACTGCTGGATTGACGCAGACGATGGTTGGACTGAAAGGCGTTTGCCTCTCTTACTTAACAAGAAGAGGATACGGGTTTGTCAGCTAATCAAGCCATGGGGATCCAGAGATGATAATGAAAAGGCCCTGGCTGAAACAGCCTGCGCAAAGTGAACTTGTGTCGTCGTTAAGCTTAGCTTCCCGTCTGTGTTGTGGTCTTCCATCGGCGGAGTTTATTACTGGGAGCGGAAAACAGGAGCTCTCAACACCTACACCGCGTGGCCTAAACAGGTACAATCAAACTTTGAAGGCAAGCACGGTATCAGGTCTCGTTGTGTCAATTAATGCAGAGTCGAGCGGGTTGAATATTTAGCTAGTTAAGAAAACCTTAGTGCATGGCACGCAAGAGAACTCCGTAAAGTCAGTCTCCAATCGAGCCAAACTCCGGTGATCCGTCTCCACGCAGCCGTTCGCATAGCATCGGCTCGTAGTGGTCTCCACCTCGGTCACTGCCGGTTAATCGCATGAGCAAGAACCATGGCGCATGGCCCTTTGAGTGGCAGATTGTGCTCGGATCCAAGCCGACCTCACCGCGCGGTCGATGCGGGAGGAAGAACATCTTGCCACATCCCACTAGGACCACGAAGACATCGCGCTGATACGCAGTCGCCAGCGCCTCCAGCACGAAGTCATCGCCCCAGGCCACACGCGAGTTGTCCGGGTCGTTGTCCACCGAGATGAGTCCGCGACTGCTGTAGTTCAAACCGATAAGGAAGTGCGTGTTTTCACCTCGACCCACCCTCATGTAGTCGCAGTACGAGTGCGCGTCCACGATCGGCTGTGCGTATTCTGTGTATACTGCTTCTGCAGCTTTTCCCCACGAGTAGCCACGCTTCTGGAGCTCTGCACACTTGTCCAGTAGCATCTTCTTGTCACTCCGACGTGCCACAAACCGCCGTGTCTGAACGGGACTCACGCCCCAGCCTCCCTTCAAGGTTGGGAAGTACAAGTTCTGGATGGCCTTGTCTATCTTCTGCTTCTCCTCGGGTGAACTCGAATTGTAGTGAGCAAGGAAGAACTTCGTCGCCACTTCGCGAATCCCTTCGGGAGACAGAGGCTCGCACTCCTCCGTGTACAGCAGCAGCTGCTCCATTGACAAGAAGAGGCAGTCGCCGAACGGCAAGACAGGAGCCAGGTACTTGACACTGTAGGCCGTGTCATGGGGTTCGTACGATACGCCGTCCTCGTCCAGCACACGTAGCAGGTCTCGGCTACTTGAGTCAATGTTGGACACGCGCTGCCAGCCCATACACACGGTCACAGGGCGGTCTACGACGGCGGGTCTGGCCGTCATGACGAACCGCTCCTTCTTGGGTCTTCTCGGCATTAACAGCACCTGCTTCGGCCGGGCCTGCAGCAGTCACAACATTCATAGCGTTGGTCTCAGCTTATCGTATCCCAACCTTACAGTTCGCCTCACCATTTGCTGATACTGTGAGTATGCCAATAGACGCGAGTCCAGCGCGTGCTGAGCGTCCATGATGGCTTCGCTGTAGCCATCATGGATCGTAATCTGCGTGGACGAGTCCAGCGCCGGCAAGAAGGGCATGGTTACAGGCATCTGGTCCATCTCCACCGAGTCGTCGTCCTCCTCCTCCTCTGCGTCCGAGTCGCCAAACGTCGCGCTCCCATCAGACGACGATGTGGTGGCTGACGCCGCCGTCGTGGGGGACGCCGCCATCTCCTGCGAGGCGTGGCAGGCGCTCGAGTCGTTCAGCTTCTGTGTCAACACGAACACGTACTCGTTCTCTTCCTTCTCGTCCTGCATGCTGCTTGACCTTGGGTAAGCTGGCTTCCTCGGCTTCTTTTATCTGATTCTCTGCAAAATAGCCTCGGGTTGAAGGGTTAGGGATATGTGGCGCACACAATATTAATTTCAAGCAGTTATCGCACCAATTTTGCGTCAGCAAATGCCACTCCCATACCAAAAAATATAGGACCAGATGACATTATCGGACCTGTGTACTGCACACATTTTCTGTGTTTTGCACACAGTTTATCTCGGATAGGTACGATGATTAGGGGAGTCAAATGCTGATGTGAATGGTTAAAGCGTGGTCAAACAGACTGTTTTATAGGCGGCAGGAAATGGCCTGAAACGCCCTCTGGGCTGAGAAAATCG